AACAATTTTGTGTCAGGTTATACCTGCCACTAATGGTTTATGACTATGATCACTTACAAAAGAAGAAATTGTGAATATAAGTCATATTAACATGAGTGTTCACTACCATGTCACTTGATTCAAAATCATGTATATTACACAGATTTAATTGAATTATAGACTTAAAAGCTGGTTTATTGTCACCTGTCTGCTCCCTCAGAAAGCTGTAATTTATTCTTAGGAGAATGGGTTCCTGATTTTAGTGGTCCGGCCTACACCAACGCCACTTGCCGCACGATCGAACCTCCCCAAAATTGCTTAAAAAATGGACGGCCGGATTCCGATTACGTCTACTGGAGGTGGAAACCCAAGGATTGTAATCTGCCCAAACTTGATCCCAGAAACTTTTTCCAGATTTTGAAGGATAAATCGCTGGCGATTCAATCATGCGCAATCAAATCCAATCCTTGCTCTGCATTCTCTCACAGGTACAATTTCGTGCATTTACTTTAAACATACATACTCAACATCTAAGTCTAACTCCACTATCTTCAACATTATCAATATAATTAAATAATACTAACCAATCATTATTACACTTCACATCAACTTTAATACACTATTCATCTAATCGCATAATTTTAACTAACTATTATTTCACACCATCTCTCTCATACTTTTATATTAAATCAATAATAGAAAAAAACTCATTTTGACCGGATATATTTGTATACAAATACGCCCTAACGTCTCTATTGTTTTCGGATTGCCTTCCATTTCAGTATATACTACTAGTATTCTCAAAATTCATAGAAAACATAAATTAAATAGGAAAATTACTATTGCGTTCAGGCGGAAGAAGCTGTGGAAGTTTACCATGACGAGGCATACAAGAACCGTAAGTGGACCTTCCCTTCCCACAACTTCACCGTCTCAGTCGTGTGGGCCCCTTTCCTCACAAAGGCATCCACCTTCGAGGACGACAACGGCATATCGTCAGGCCCAACCCACCTCTTCCTCGACGAGCCCAACCCAATATGGGCCAACCAATACAACAAATTCCACTACATAGTAATCGGAGCCGGAAAATGGTTCCTAAAATCCGCAATATACCACGACCAAAACACAGTGGTCGGCTGCCACAACTGCCACCACAAAAACACGCCAGAGCTGGTCTTTTACTACGAGTACCGTAAAGCCCTCAACACCACCCTACAATTCATGGGCCAGTCGCGGCATAGGGTCCACCGTGTGTTCCTGCGGACCACCACGCCAGATCACTTTGAGAATGGGGATTGGGACACTGGAGGCTACTGTAACCAGACTATACCGTATAGGTTGGGGAAGTTGAGGTTAATGGAGTGGACGGGAGAATGAGGGCATTGGAGATTGATGAGTTTGATGGGGCGAGTGGGAAGTTGTGGGGATTGGAGCTTTTGGACACGACTTTGATGTCGGTTTTGAGGCCAGACGGGCATCCTGGGATTTACCGGAGGTTTCACCCATATGAGGAGAAGAAGGGTAATAAAGGTGGGAGGATTCAGAATGACTGCTTGCACTGGTGCTTGCCTGGACCTATAGATGCTTGGAATGATTTGATCATGGCAATGCTTGTTGGGCATAAATGAATGGGGATGACTTCTACAAATTTACCTTTTTTTTTTTTTTTTTNCTAAGTTGTTATTTTTTATTTATTTATTTTTTATTTCAGGTTTTCGGTGTAGGTAACTAGTGGTAGGATCAGCAGTATGTAAATGCAAGCTTTTTAAATAGGCGAGTCTTCTATCTCATGTTAAATAAAGAAATCAGTGTGTCAAAAGAACTACAATTGCTCCTACTTGAGTTTGGCCAGATAAAACCAGCAAATGTATTCTCCATGGATTTGATTAATTGGTATTTCAATTTGGCAACGGATTTTTTTCTGAGATAATGGTTAGGGAAAATAACAAGGGAAAGTTATTAAAAATAAATTCATGAATGATTTTTTTTTTTTTCTTTTCACAAGTACTAATTAGTGATCTTGTTGATCTAATAGAAAGAAACACCCAATTTGGGCAGTTCGTGACGGGTTTGCTACAGATAATGGCAGTGGTTTGAATGAACAATACTCAGCCTGAAGACAAATCATGGAACGCATCCTGAAATCTATTATAAATCTGACAACTTTCACCAACACTTGCATTATTGGCAGAAAAAAAGGAGAATTTCGTGTGTCAAAACATATTAAACTCAGACGGCTTTCATACTCTTACCTTATTCGACTACACATTTTTGCAGCAGACAGAAAACCTCAAGCCAAACGAAGAAAAGTTCAGAATAACAATTGTCCCTCTTTTACTTGGTTGAAGCTGCAGCTTCTTGCTTCTTTTGATCCATCTTGCATAACCAATCCTGAATTGTCAGAAATACGAAAACCAACAGAACATTGTCAAAAACAAATCCAATAAAAATGTGGTCAAATAATCATTAAAGAGCTCACCGAACAACAATATTAAGTGGGAACATGTAATTTGACATGAACATCGAGAAAAATGTAAAGCAATAATTTCTTATTTATAAAATATGGATTTTTTCAGATTATAAGAGGCATCAAATGTACCACCAACACCTTCTAGCTACTATATACAGACTATGAAGGAGCCCACATTTGTTAGTGATTTTTATCATCGCATACTCTCAAATTTATTGAATAACATCAGGTTCAGAAGTAACCACACTGGAAAGAACAAAATCCCAATATTAAGCAAACTTCCTCTAACTCAGAATTGTAACTGATATAAGATTTAAGAATGGAAGATGGCTAAAATAACAGATCTTGTAACATCACATTGAAACAAAAGATGGAATATCACAGAAGAATTTATCAAATGCTTCTCTCGACTAAATGAGTGTTCAACTAAAGTTGGCTAAACTTTTAGCATCCAATCAGAAACTTAAAACCATCAATGGCTGCAGATAGTTTCATTTCATAAACTAAGAACACTTTCCCTTCAGGCAATAAAATCATCAAGCTCTGTCAAACCACTGTTTCACATTGACACGAGAAGAACTAGAAAAGCTGGTGATACTTGGAACTGTAAGTACAAAACACAACTGATTAAGGTTTAGCTAATTGCTCATTTAATTATAACTCGTCACTTCGCTTAATTTGAAATGGAGTTTGAGGCTTCCCAGATATAGCTAATCAAAGTGTAATATAGCTCCTGTTAAATCTTTCCTAAAACCAAGTGCACCACAGTTGCACTAAAGCCACTTGTTTCTGTGGTGGCCGAGGTTGATGGTTCATTCAAAGCTCCTTAAGGATTAACTCATCATTTTCTCTCCGGCTCAAGTTCAACATCTACACTTCCAGAAGCATGAAGGAATTCTAAGATAAAAAATATGTATCAAAGGTCAAAATCTAGGAAATATTAAATTTTTGCAGAAATTTATCGGCTGGTATTTAGAAGAAATCAGAATCCTCTATCGATCCAATAGTAATATATACCAATAAAAGCAAATATATTCCACAATTAGAACACAATTTCATCTACGTGGTACAAACCCCAGGTTGGCACATTATGATTCAATCATTATAAATAAATAAATGCAAGATAATGAAATCAGATACAAAAAATGAAACCAAATCTAACGTTTTCAACAAATAGGAGGTCGGCGACGACTACTGTGCCAACAATTCCAGCGAGAATGGTCGCCGGGCCGGTGAGCAAACTCCATTTTCTGTGTATCATTCTCTCTCAAATTTACTCTCTCTCTCTCTCTCGATTGATTGATTGCAAAATCATGGTGACACGGGCTTTTCTGAGTTCTCCTCATGGGCTTTAGATAAGTCCATGATGATGGAACGAGTCTAGCCCATATATTTGGTTAAACATTGACTTGGGCTTCAATTTTAACTTTGTTCGGTTACCAATAAAAAACTTCAGTAATTTGACTAATTACATAACTATGCCTTTATATGACTTATTTGTAAATCTATGATTAAAGAAATCTTTTATCATATAAGGCTTTTCAAAACATAATATTTTCATTTTAACGAATGTTGCCAGCCATTCCAAATAAATTGTCCTAATTAAAGTATCCGTAATTGACGGAATTAAACAATAGATTTTTCAAAAAAATCATACCAAATGATGAGACTTACCATTCTGTGTTTGAGAAGTTATTTCAAAGAAACTCATAAAACGATCTCAGTTCTTTTTTTGTTCGAGATCGGACACGAGCACGGGTTTTTAAAAAAAAAATAAAGCAAGGTGCAAAAAACTTATTATTATTATTATTATTATTATTATTATTATTGTTGTTGTTGTTGTTGTTGTTGTTGTTGTTGTTGTTGTTGTTGTTATTATTGTTTATTATTTTGTAAATGATAAGGTGTATGTGTATACTTTGCAAAAAAATAAAAAATCATTTTATAAATTTTGTTTAAATAAGGTGATTATTTATTTATTTATTTATTTATTTATTCTAATATATGAGTTCTGTTTATTTGATGGTCTTCTGTGACAGATGTGCATCCACGTAGGATAAATCAGCGTGAGTCAGCACGTACGGGTGAAATTCGATAACTTGTAGGTAAATTGGGCACACATTTTGAGTTTTAACAAGTTACTGTACTTTTTGCCACACGAAAAAGATGTTCTGCTGATTTGGCGGTCTTCTATGACACATGTGCATCCACGTAGGCTAAACCGGGGTGAGTCAGCACCCACCGGTAAAATTCGGTAACTTTCATGTAAATTGGGCACAAATTTTAGGTTTTAACAAGTTCAGGGCACCTTTGCCAAACCAAAAAGAAGTTGTCCACATTTGCCACACACCTCTGGTTACAGGACACAAAATGCAATTTTGCCTTTATTTTATTTAATTCCCTTGATTTTATATGGTTAAGTTATTTATTAAGACTGTGTTTGGCAAGCCAAATAAGCTAGCTTATAACTTATTTGGTTAGCTTATAAGCTCCATGTGTTCAAATAAGCCTCGTTTGGTAGGACGAGCTTTTTTAAAAAGCTCGAGCTTATCTCATAAGCTACTTTAGGTAGCTTTTCAAATAAGCTAGTTGAATTTTTTATTTCAGCTAGCTTATCAGCTAATTTTACCAAACACTTTTATAATATAAGCTAGCTTTTCAGCTATAAGTCATAAGCTATAAGCTATAAGCTAGCTTATCAGCTAGTGTTACCAAACATAGCCTAAGTTTATTTTAGGAGATCGAGAAGAAATCTACGAGATATTTTACCTTATGAAGCAACCGCACTTGACAAGAAGGAATGATCAACTTACCATGTAAAGTGTTCCAAAGCCGCGTGAACAACTTACCATATACGGCTTCAGAAGATCAATCAAGGAACTTACCTGTGGGCAGTAACATGGCCGTGAAAATGTGAAGAGATGGCGTGCAAAGGGGACCAGCAGCCTCAGATTCAAGAAACTGGACGCGGCTAATTAAGGAGGAAATAAGGCGAGGTGGACTTACCATAATGGAGCAGCCGCAAGATATGAGAAGATCTTACCATGTGGAGCTAACTTGTGAATGAGGACACGCCTAAGTTTGGAGAGGACGCATTGAGATGGACTTACCATAATGACCTGAGATAAAACATGTTCCTGTTAGTGTTATATACTGAAAGCTTGGCTTTGCATGTTATTACACATTTACCCTTTATGAATGAGAATCATGTTAGATTAAACAAGTTCTACGTTCTATTGTTCTGCACTTAGATAGGGTGGGTCGTCATCAGGCGAACCGAAGATCACTCTATCAGTCACTTGCGAACAAGAATAGTTGTTCACAACCTAGATGGACATGAACACCCCATCCGAACGGTTGTAGTGTCAACTGTACAGTTTGTCTTGACTGATTAGTTGCACTAGTACATTCATGTATTGAACAGGATCCCAGAGAGAAGAAGTTTATTTTATACTGATCGTCGTAAATGAACTAGGTCTCGGTTAATTATTGCGTTCTCTTAACCCGTAAGATATTAAACAGGCAGATATATATAATATATATTACTTTGATTTACATGGGTGAGGTTCAGTTCGCTGGATTAATATTCCTACTGTTTTGGGTAATATTATTATATATAGGATGTGCTGTTAGGATATTTACGGTCACCATGTGCGTTAGTTTGATGATGTCCCCGGAGTGAGTTCATGAAGAATTGTTAGGCTAAACCCTGCAGGTGGATTAAGTTCCGGCATAATAAGAATGTGATGGACGAACGCTAGCTTCGGTAAAATAATAATAAATTAATTAATTCTTGATTGACAGTAATCGAATTAATTAATGGACATTATGTCTTAAACGTGGGGAGGTAAATCGAGTAATTATTATTGGAGTCTCAAATGTAATTTGGGCTAGGAAAAGAGAGTGCGATAAAATAATGTTGGTGGCCCATTAACATTATTTAATTAATTAGAGGAGTGGGCTTGGTCCACAGTTAGTCTAATTAATTAAGGAGCCATTTTCTTAATCTCCTAAGGGTCCATACTGTAGCTCTATATATACATCATTAAGCTCATGAGAAGAGAATCCCAATCTCATTCTAACGCCCCACGCCTCTCTCTCTCTCTAGATCTCATTCGAGCTTTATCTTCTTCTTGTTGCTCCACTGGTACAAGTAGAAGAAGGGTGCATTGAGTAATACAGTAGAAGATCTGTAGGTAAACCGAGACGAAATATATTTTGACCTACAGAACTAACCGGAAGTCCGATTGAGACGTACAGCATACCCAGATGACCGTCTCGACGTGAGCTTTCCATCGCCGCCGAGATCGCAGCCGTCTGACGCCTCACGAGCCCTCACGCTCCGCCGGAAGCTCCCAGGCTGCAAAGTTTCGTTTTGATCTGTTTGCATCCGTTTAATCCAATTTTGATCTGCTCTTGTTCGTGCAACCCAAGACGTGATTTGTGGTCAATCAATTGCGGTCAACCGTTCGTGATCAACCAGATCTACATAAATTTTAAGCTGTAAGTTCTCTACGTCAAACCTTTAGATCCGCTGCGCATAGGTTTACGCTTGCTATTGAATTCGTGACTTGTACATAATGAGATCCTCACAGATCCCAACAGTTCCACGCACGATTGGGATCACAACTTCGATTATCATCTTTTATTTTGTTGAGAGAAAAAGTGCATGGAGCGTTGTCCTTGAATTATTCATTCAAAGATTATTTTTATTTTATTGAGGGAAGTCGAGAGTCTGTTCTCGATCTCATTGAGCTAAGGTTATACTTGTTATAGCTTAGGTGTTCAGTAGAAACACTTAGAACAACACAAGGGATTCGAGTTGTAAAATCCACAAGTGATTTGGTGATCATTACATTGTAGGTATAGAAGAGAGAGTTTTCGTTGTAATTCCTAAGTATAACGGGCCAAACATTTATACAAATGAATGAGTTCCGGAAGGAGAGCGGGATACTCTCTTGAAAGTTCATGTTTTGTAGAACCCTACTTCTGCAACTATATGAACTTACATTGAAGTTTACTATTTATTGTACTTAACTCAACTCTAGTTTATATCCCCAATAATTGCAGTCAGCTTATGGTTGCTCTATGTGAAGGGAACTCTATTGCATGATTTACACTTTTCGGTCCGTTTTTTCTTGACACTTAGCGGCTATTCTGATGCAGATTGGGCTGAAGATCCTTTTGATCGTCGTTCCATTACTGGGTATTGCTTCTTTCTGGGTGATTCACTCGTCTTCTGGCGCAGTAAGAAGCAAACCTTAGTTTTATGATCGAGTGCTGAGTCTGAGTATCGTGCTCTTGCTGAATCCAGCTCAAAGCTATTATGGTTACATCGGCTACTTGTTGATCTCGGTGCATCTCAGTTGTCGTCTACTGCTCTCCATTGGGATAGTTAAAGTGCTATTAAGATGTCTCATAATGATACATTCCATGAGCGACCATATTGAGATTAACTGTCACTTTAGTCGACCACATATTGCCCAAGAGACTGTGAAACTTGTTTCAGTCTCCTCTACGGATCAAATAGTGGATGTCATCACGAAGTCTTTCCTTCTTGGTCGTTTCTGTTTACTTATTAGCAAACTCAAGTTGATCTCCACTATACCACCTTGAATTTGATGGTGGAGGGAGGGAGGGGAGTTAGTTATATAGTTGTTGTATTTGCGTATTGTAGGATTAGGTTAAGGCCCAACCTAAGGGAGACTCATCTTATGTCTTTATATACATGTACATACCTATGTGTTAATTCACAATATAAAATTTTATATATGTACTATCAAAATTTATTTAATAATAGATTCAATATATAAATTTGATCACTGTAGTAACCACTTTCAATCAATTTATAAATTTTGGGATAAAAACATAATCAAAAAATTAATTAATCCATATTGGATAGCTATGATTTAGGTTGGTAATGGTTCTGTTACCGAACCGATTAACCGAACCGATAAGAGAAAACCAATACTGAACCGGACATTTCGGTAACAACAAAATATGAAACCGTTACCGAACCGATTGTAATCGGTAACTAAAAAACCGAAAATAATTTTCGGTTAGCGAAAACTCGGTTTGTTAACGGTTTCTTACCGAAAAAACAGAAAAAACGAAATTCACCAATAATAATGCAACTCGGTTAAGTCCCAACATTCATCCACCATGTTCCAACATGATTGAGTTCAACAACCCAATAATAATAACAACCAGTGTTTTAAATATCGTACCGGTGGTCATACCGGTCTAACCACCGGTACGCGGTATTACCGGTCGGACCGGTAAAATCGTTGGTATTATCTGACTAGTAATTAAAATGATATATATAACTATACATAAAAATATATAATACCAAATGCAAAAAAGTAGAAAAATAAATTATCATAATAATTAATTTCAACTTCTAAATGAGATAAAAATAAAACATTTTAAAGCAATTTAAATTTTATATTTTTAAATTAATAAATTTTATTTTTTTATTTTATTTTTTTATTGGCCAGTATTTTGGACCGATATTTTACGGTATTTACGGTATGATCTCGGGACAAACTGATATAACCGTAAATCCGGTGTATTGTATGCAATTGTACCGTACCAATGACCGGTAGCCGGTATTACTGGTATTACCGGCCGGTACGATATGGTACTTAAAACATGGATAACAACATTCCAACATTCATCCATCAATAATTTAATACCCAATATTCATCCACCAATAATACCAACAACTTTTATTCACCATACTCATCTTAATTCTATTTTTTTTAATACCTTATCAGTTTGGTTCAGTAAAATCAAACTTTTATGGTTTCGGAACCGATACCGAATCGATAATCGATTATCGTTATAAATGAGTGAGTACGGTTCGATTTATTTTCTCGTCAATTTGATTTGATTCGACTTTTTGATTTTAGGTAAAAAAAAGGTAGATTCTATCCTACCCCATGGGGTAGGATAGAATTTATCAAAAAAAAAAATGTCAGCCCTAGCTATGNCACCCACATGGATGTGTGTGGAATATGTGGCTAAAAACCCCATGGGGCACTACCCCATGGGGTAGGATAGAATTTATCAAAAAAAAAAATGTCAGCCCTAGCTATGATTATGTTTTATGCAATGAACAATATAATTTGGTTGATAACACTCCAATTTAATATGCGTCTCCGCTCTCTGTAGCTAACTTGTAGTAGCATGTAGATAAAGTAGACAGTGACATAATGCTTGCGTCATAAGAGGCGTCATCCATGTTGAATCATTGGAGTTTGATTTGTAGGTTCTTCTAGAAGCTGACTGCTGCCCCAGTACAACTTATCGCCCATCAATTTATTATAGAAATGATTGTACCAAAAAAAAAATTATTATAGAAATGATTAATTCTGGTTGGTTAATTACGCAACCTTACCAGGAAGGATGTTTTCATTTATATGACACAATTAACTTGGACACTGTTTTGTGTTAGGTTCGTCAAAGGCATACAAGGAAAAGTGTCTTGGATTCATACAATTAATTCCACTCTCATACATCTTTCATCCCTCTTTAATTTTAGAACAAGTCAAAAAAGCACTCAATTAAGGTCAAATATTCCACATTAATTTTATGACTTTTGAAGGTAAACATCTTGAATTTCAGTGAATAATTTATAGTATTCAAATAAGAAGAATCTTGTAGCCTGTTAATTATGCATAGATAAGAATTTTCTGTAAAGTAACATACTTTTTGTGTTGACATTATCGCAAAAACAGCTGTCGACCTTCAGCAAATTAGTCTTACTCTTACCAGATTGACTGAAGAACCAGATGATAGCATTAGAATATTGCGATACCTATTTTATTTTATTAATCAATTATTAATATACATGGCTCGCTGATCTCGGATTAATGGAAGTATACATCTTTTATATATTAACAAGACGAGATTTAACTATTAACACAATTAACTAAGAACAGCTACAATTGTACAAAACTGGATGGTCCGTTTGTTTATTCCTAATAGCACCTACTTTGACCCCTTCAAATTCTATTCACCATTTTATTAAATAGAAATAATAGCAAATGACTATTTCACATTTTTCTATGTAATAAAATGTCGTTTACCCTCGACCATGTTGGAATGGGGACACAACATTCTATCTAATCACACCATTAATTAGCTCACTTGTTTTATTTAAAAAGTGTTTTTTTTTTTCCACAATGATTATCGCCGTAATTTACCCTAATACCCTTCAAGATGAAAAGAATGTCGATATTTATTTCTCTATATATTCGCAGTAGAGACGCCCACCACTTTTATCTCTATCCACAAACTCACTACCATCATCATTCCCCCTTTTTTCCACCTATTATTCCCCAATCTCTCTCCCAAAAGGGAACAACTCTTCCTTTTTCNCCAGTCCGCCTTCCTCTCCGCCCTCCCTCCAGGCGTCGACCACATCCTCCTCCCGCCGGTCACCTTCGACGATCTCCCGCCGGACGTCAAAATCGAGACGCGCATCTCCCTCACCGTCACCCGCTCCCTGCCCTCCATCAACGCCGCCCTCAAAACCCTGATCGACGGCGGCAGAAAGCCGGCGGCGCTCGTGGTCGACCTCTTCGGCACCGACGGGTTCGAGGCCGCCGCAGAATTCAACATCCCGCCGTACATCTTCTTCCCGTCCACCGCCATGACGCTGTCCCTGTTCCTCCATCTCCCGAATCTGGACGAAACGGTGTCGTCCGAGTACTGGGAGGTCGCCGAGAAGCTTCAGATCCCGGGTTGCATCCCGATTCACGGCAGAGATCTGCTGGACCCGGTCCAGGACAGGAAAAACGACGCCTACAAATGGGTTCTCCACAACGCCAAGAGGTACCGCCTCGCCCGCGGGATCATTCTCAATAGCTTCAAGGAGCTTGAGCCCGGCCCAATTGAGTATCTCCAGGGAAAAGAGTCCAAAAATAACGGAAACCCAAGCGTTTACCCAATTGGGCCTTTGGTTCAAACCGGGTCACCCAAACCCGATTCGGATGGGCCTAGTATGAAGTGGTTGGACGAGCAGCCAAGCGGGTCAGTCCTATTCATCTCGTTCGGCAGCGGTGGGTCCCTATCCCAGGAGCAAATTACCGAGCTTGCCCTCGGGCTGGAGCTGAGCGAGCAGAGGTTCCTGTGGGTTCTTAGGCGCCCAAGCGGGTCGGACTCCAACCGAGACTACTTCAGCATCAAGGACGCTGGCGACCCATTGGCCTACCTGCCCGAGGGTTTTGTGGAGCGGACTAAAGGCCGGGGACTGGTTTTACCCCTGTGGGCCCCACAGGCGAAGATCCTGGCTCACGGGTCGGTTTCGGCTTTCCTGACCCACTGTGGGTGGAACTCGATTCTCGAGAGCGTGGCCAATGGGGTGCCCATGATCGCGTGGCCCTTGTACGCGGAGCAGAGGATGAATGCGGTTTTGCTGCACGAGGATGTGAAGGTGGCCCTGAGGCCCCGGGCTGGGGAAAACGGGTTAGTGGGTCGGGTCGAGATTGCCAACGTGGTGAAGGGGTTGATGGAAGGGGAGGAGGGGAAGAGGATCCGGAGCCGTATTAGGGATTTGAAGAATGCTGCGTGCAATGCGCTGAGTGAGAAGGGGCAGTCGACGAATGTACTAGCTCAACTGGCTGCTAAATGGAACCCTGCTTCCATTTGAAGAATTACGTCATGCAATTGTGTGTGTGTGTGTTTGTGTATGCCCGTGACAGAAATTATTATAATATAACACAGGTAAGTCGCACAAGTAATAAGTGTCATACTGAAATATAATATATATATATATATATATATATAGGGTCACGCTCCGGTGAGAATGACCCTTAATGCGAGAAATAGGAATACATCCTAACCATTAGATCGGACAATCTAACGGATAAAAAAATATCAAATTATCACACTCATTACAGTAAATAAGTAATTATAACAGATCCAATTAAGGGTATATGAGACATTTTCCCTATCACAAACCAATCACCCACATATCCCCCACACACCTGTGGGTCCCGCCCCTATCAGATCTCCACCTTTCTCTTCCAATCTCTCCCTCTCTCTCGTACATACCTCATCCCCCATCTCAAAAAATTGCCGCCGCTGCCGCTGCCTCTAATCCCGCCGCCGTCGACGCCTCATCCGCTAAACACGCCGATTTCGTTGAAAATCCCGCCGTTGCCGCCCCGTTTATGAGATTTCCATCGTTGCCCGTTTTCCAAGATTCCCGCCGCCCGTTTTCTGAGATTTTCGCCGCCGCTAAACCCCAAGCCGTCGCCGCCCGCGTTTCTCATCTGTCGCGCAAGTCCTGCCCTCTCCATCATCACCTAGGCCCGCCCGAGCAGAGGTGGCGTCGCATGGTGGAGACTCACCAGGAGCTCGACGACCATCTCGTCGTCTGAAGTGGTGCGACCACTCCCCGTCGGCGCCGCCCATGGCCGCCGTCCAAATCCCGTCCGCCGTTACCATCATCTTCCTCCTCAGCCGCCACGCAAATTCCGCCTTCGCACACTCCTGCTGCTGCCGCCATCCAAATCTCACTCGATGATGTCCGGCGAGGCAGCTATCTCCACCCTCCCCGCCGCCGTACTCGCCCTTTCCGCTGCCGTCTCCACCCATTCCGACGCCGGCGCTGTCAACCTTGCCAGAGAAAGGAAAATAGCTGCACAGAATTAGGGATTTGGAAATTGACTTGAAATTATAATAGGGCTATTTTTTAGTAAATTAAATATAATCAAGGGACTTATCTGTAAATTAACAAAATTTAAAATATATTATAATTTAGTTCTTGGGTTAAATTTATAAATTAATAAAAGTTGACACTTGCACATTTATGTTCAGTGCGTTGCACCATATCGCCTTAGGAATTGCACATTAAAAATATCAGTCTATATACTGCACCATATTGTTATACAAACTGCACTTTAGTGCATGTGATATTGCACTTTATCGCAGACAATGCATTTGTGCAATGACTAAAATATCCCCCCGTGAAAAAATCAAAAGTTCACTTAAATGCCACTGCATGTTCGACTAAATCTAGACTATTTGACCGTGCATTAATTAATAAATTATGTGTTTAATTTATTTCAATGTACAATTATAGTTATTAAGTTGTTTTCGAATGCAAATTATTTATATGGGAAGGCATAAATTAGTGCAATTTATATAGTGAAATGTTGCACTTTATAAAACAACTCATTGTACTTTACCAGACGTCACGTTGCACTTTATCAACATAAGTAACGTCAACAACTCTCGCCAAAAATATTACGCGGTATAAATCTAAAAAATGGTAAATAATATATAAATTATTAAATAACAATAATGTAAAATATTAAAATAGCATAAAATTTTTTTATAGTAATGAGCAAATTATAATAAAAAATAGTAAATAAGAAGACATTTTAATTATTTAAGTTAATTCAATGAACAATTATATCAATTAAATAGTTTTCGAATACACATAATTTATTAATTAATGCACGTTATACAGCGGGATGTTGCACTTTATTAAACAACAAGTTGCACTTTATAATACGTCACGTTGCACTTTATCAACATAATTAACGTCGGCAACTCTCGCCGAAAATATTGCGCAGTATAAATCTAAAAAATATATCTACATAATTGCACTTTATACATCAATATGTTGCACTGTATACGGAAATACATTGCACCTTATAACACGACATGGTACAACTTATAAAACGACACACTACGTGTACCAAAAAATACTGTAATTTTGCTAATCGATCGAATAAATTAATTGGTTAAATCTCGAATTTAGTCTTTTTAAATAAATAAAATAACTAAACATGGCGAACTATATGAAAAATATTACCAATTCTTTTTTATTTATATATTTTAATAAAAATTTATACTATTTATATATATATATTATTATATGTATTGTGAGTGCACGTAATGGTTATACTAATTGCACATAAACGTCTACCGTATTGCACAAAATTGAACGAGATCCAACGAACATAAATTTGGAACGAAAATTTATATTTGGTTTCGATTACTATTATTATTATTTTATATATGGGATATTTTCGATACGATGACATTTTTTTTATTTAAATAACTAAAAAAAGCATATTAAAAATATTATTATTATTTTTTTATACAAATATTAAGCTATAAGTTTCTATTGAAATATAAAAAAATAATATAGTGCATTTTATGTATTATTGTGTATGTATTAAACTCTTACTATATTATCAATTTGCCAATTGTACTCAATTGAAATAAAATAAAATTTTATAAATTGCAATTAGGCCCCTAGATTAAATCAAATTCTCACACAAATAACCCCAAAACTCAAACAAACACACATCATATAACAACTGCCATATTTCGGCCAAATTCACAGTGGTCTTGTCGGCCGACGTTGGCCGGTTATGCGCCGCCGACGTTCACCGGCGATTTTCCGGCGAGCGGCTAAGATGACCGGAAGTTTCACGACATTAAAACGGATGACGGTCTCGACGTTGACGGAGGCGGCATGAGCAGACGACGGACGGCAAGGGCTGGAAGCGGGGGTCGGTCTGGAAGCGACGTTGTCGGAGTCGGGTGGTGACGGAGGTGCTCGACGGCGGACTGATTTTGTACGATGGCGATGGCAGTGGCGGGATGCTGATGGTGGGCTGAGAATGGAGACGGCAAGCTGAGAAAGGGGACGACGGCGAGATGAAAACCGCCGATAGGTAGGAAGCCGGCGGCGAGATGAGAGGCGGCAGTGGTTGTGCAGGTACAGGCGGTGGCGGCTGCGCGGCGATGCTCCAGTGGCCGGAAGGTGGGCGAGAACAGATGGATGTTGGCGGAAGGCGGCGGCGATGTGGTGGTCGGACTGCTGGACTGTGTGTGTGTTTGTGTGTGTATGTGTGTGTATTGTGTGTGTTTATGTTCCAGATCCGTAAAAATGGAGAGAAGAGAGGTTGAGGAGAGAGAAAAATGAGAGAAGAGATGTTAGGAGAGAGAAAATTGTGTGTTGAATTGATTTAATGAGTGGGTCCCATTTTATATGTTTATTTACTACCATACCCTTAATTATTGGTCAAATACACATATTTGAACACATTATGGTTAATAATTACCAAATTGTCATTAATGATTGACCATAATTTGACTTCATCATAACCATTGATATGCTTGATCTCATGGTCCAAATTTATTCTCATTTCTCGCATTAAAAGTCATTCTCATATGATCCTTTCTCTCTCTATATATATATATATATATATCACACACCTTTACTTTGGTTATATTATGGGGTATGAGAATATGTAGCCATTATATGTTAGGTAAGAATGGGACATATAGGAATTAATAATTGGTCAATGAAGAAATTCGCTGATCAAATCATTGAGCAGAGGACCGCATAAAATAATCGTTCGAAAAGATTTAGATAAAAATGGGAGGGCACTAAGACTAAGCGGAGTTGGTGGTGGTTCGGAATCACTAGCATACATATATGTACTTGTTGGACATTGATTTAGCATATTATAGTCCTGGAATAGATACAATTAGGATTTAAAAGAGTTTAATTTATTCATGATATACTGGTTCAACTTTTTTTTTTCCACATGAATTATTTGTAGAGAATATCATTATAAATATATCAAGGAGATACTATTCTAATCCTTGCCTTTTTTGATTTTACGTAAATACACTTTTTCAACTACCTTTTTAACAACTAATCTATATATATATATATATATATATATATATATATATATAATTGTAGGCTATCCAATTAATGCGGATAACCTACTTTTTTCGCCTATTTTTTAAGTTATTTTTGGTATGTTTCACATATCATTTTATTTGTATTGTTGTAGTTAATATTCTATTATTTAATAAAAGTTGTAACGGTCATGTCTTAAAAATTAATATAATTGCACTCTTTGTTAGTTTGTTAAGTAAAACTATATTTTTTATGTACTCATTACAATATTGTAACACATTCTTTCATTTGATTTTACATTTACTTAACATTTGAATTTTATCTTTCCAATGTAACTATATATATTCTTTTATCTGATATTATACAAATATAGTATGTATATCATTTGTACGATAATTCTCTGATGAAAGATAAATTTATATGGTATATAAGATTTACGTTGTCCAGTTTAAATTTATATTTTTACTTTGGTAATACTTTTATGTTTATTATTAATACAATATTCAAATTGTATAAATTAGGTTATTTATTATATTCATATAATAGTAGTCATTTAGTATATGGTAAATTCTACATTATAAAAATTCGACTAAGAGTCTTTAATGTAATTTGATTATAAATGTGATACATACTATTAAGGAACATTTTGTTTTATGATATTTATATATAATATTTATTTATTTTTATTAATCTGTGGATGTGCACAGAATTAATACTAGTAGATGAGAAATATTACGTATTTGAATTTTCTAGCTCTACCTTCTACATTTATTACTTCTATTTCGTCTTACTTGTTTCCTCATTCTTATGCCTTAATTTTTTCTTTTTTCTCTAATGAAAACTATGTTTCTTCATCCTTATGCCTTCTTNCCCAAACGTACACAAGGATAACAAACTGGTTAAGAAAACGTGGGCAAATTCGGTCGGTTTGCATGGTTATTTAAATATATATAGAGACAGAGAGACAGAAAGAG